GGTACCTGCGCACAACAAGTGAATGTATCCAACCAAGGGCCTGGGTGCGGTACCTTTTACTCTACAGTTGACGTTGACTCTTGAATTTCCTTTGTACCGCGTTCGGTCACACAGCCACCTCGACAGACTCAAGGCTGGGCGTGCCTCGGTCACACAACCCAGCACAGACAACTGACTCTGTGGTTTCCGGGGGCGAAGTTTTGAGCCTCGGACTGCTGCTGAACAGGGTTACTGCATTCCTGCCGACCCAATTTTCGAGTTCCATCGCAGAAACATTTAAGACCTCAACCCTCGTTCATAGGCAGAGACAATATCAGGAGCGGATTCAAGGAGTTCTTTTTTACTAAACCATTTGTCCTCAGATGGTGCTTGACTCTTAAAACGTACCTTGAATTGCTTCTGGGGTCGTCCACGTGCTCCTGTAGAGAAGAACCTATGTTCTAGGATTCGATCCACTTCATATCCGTCGTCCATATCTGGCGGAATCATAGATGGTCTATGGGGGAATTCATCTCCTTCTATATAAGGTAGCAACTTGGACGCATGAAAGACAGAATAGGTCTTGAGGTGAGGGGGAATATCAATTCTATAAGACGGTCCCTCTGCATCCCCAATTACTTTCAGAACTTCCCAAGGTCCAAAATAGACAGACATAAGTTTTTGAGACACGTTTTCTTCTAATGAAAACTCTTTAGACTTGACCCAGACAAGATCGCCTTCCTTGAACGTTGATGGTCGGCGATGCTTATTAGCTTGTTCAATCATCCGGTCCTGAGCTTTCTTTAGATTCTCTTTTACCTTTTTAATGTCTTCTTGAAACAACACTACGTATTTTCGGGTCCCTGGAGGTAACCTAAGGAAATGGTCTCTTGTCAACACATCAATGGGACGCTTGGGTTTCCACCCTTTATGCAATGCGTTAGGTGTTCGCCCTGTAGAGGTATGAACACTACTATTGTATGCACTTGCTATTTTAGGTAAATTCTCATCCCCATCTATTTGATCGGGTCTCACATACATGCGCAGAAGCTGTTGGCACAAACGGTTCATCTGTTCACTCTGTCCATTCGTTTCAGGGTGTCGACCTGACGACATGGTTAGACGTGTACTGTATGCCTCCATCAGCTTTTGCCATGACATACTTGTGAACCTACTATCGCGATCAGATACAATGGATAGAGGAAAACCATACTTGGTCACCCATCGCATCTGAAACTTCTGGATCACAAGTTCAGGTCTCGCTTCTGCGGGTAAGGGAATGAACATAGCGTACTTGGAGAAATGATCCACAATCACCATTACTTGACTATTGCCATTTCGACTTTTGGTGAGACTCATGAAATCCATGGAGATAGACTCACCTAGTTCGCTTGGAATTGGTAATGGTCTGAGAAGACCAAGTGGATTCTCGTGTGAGGGTTTGTTTCTCTGACACACAAGACAGGTACGAACATAAGTTAGTACATCCTCTTTCAATCCCTTTCATTCAAAGCGTTCTCTGACTTCAGCGTAAGTTTTCTTGAAACCAAAATGACCTTCGGTGTCGTGACATTCCCCAATAAGCAGACTTTTGATTTCTTCCTGGTGAGGAATACACAATCGTTGTTCAGTTTGGTCTAACAAGAAAAGCAAACCATCAATTACCTTATAGTCGGGAAGTAGAGTTGGGTCTTTCGCAAGGACATCCATGATGGGTTTCCATATAGGGTCAGTGGCAAAGCCTTGACGAATTCTATCTTTCAGATCATTCCCAACGTCTAGGTAAGAGACAATGGCACTAAAGAAATCACATATTCACGACAATGCATCTGCAACCACAGACCTACCTTTGATAGTGTTTAACTCGAAATCAAAAGTATCAATGAATGCAGACCATCGTACTAGCTTATCAGAGAGTCTAGGCTGTGTCTTTATCCACTTCAGAGKAGAGTGGTCTGAATACACAGTAAAGTGTCTCCCTAATAGATAGTGTTTCCAGGTGTCTAAAGCGCAGACTAAAACATATAATTCCCTTTCATACGTGGAATTGGCAACCTTTTCTGATGACAATCGTGCAGACATAAATTCAATAGGTCTGTAACCATTGTCGTCATTCTGTTGAAGAACTGCGCCAATCCCATACTGACTTGCATCAGTTGTGACGATAAAGGGAAGAGATGGATCAGCAATTTTCAGAACACGGTAGTGAGTCAGAGCATACTTTACCTTTTTGAACGAAGACTCACAATCCTTGTCCCACAACCAGATAGTTCCTTTCTTCAACAATCTTCTCATTGGTGCAGTGATCAATGAGAAGTTTCTGACAAACTTCCTATAGTAGCTTGCCAAGCCAAGAAAACATCGTACCTCAGTTACAGACTTAGGTTGTGGCCAATCTCCAATTGTTGATATTTTCTTTTCCTCTGGCCTGAGGCCATCTTGGTTCACTATGTGTCCTAAGTATAAAACTTCAGACTTAGCGAACTCAGACTTCTTGGGGTTTACTTTGAAGTTGCCTTCTCGCAACTTACTTAACACCAAACGAAGATGTTTCTCGTGTTCTTCTAGAGTTTTACTATACACACGAATGTCATCAAGATAGACTATGACGAACTGATCCAACCATTGACGAAAGAACTCATTCATTGACCGTTGGAACGTAGCAGGGGCATTTGTTAATCCGAAAGGCATTACCATAAACTCGTAATGGTCATACCTGGTCCGGAAAGCAGTCTTGTGTTGATCTGCGGGCTCCACCTCGATCTGATGGTACCCAGACTTCATATCAATTTTACTGAAGTACTTATATCCCTGTAGTTGGTCAAGTAAATCATCGATGCGTGGAAGTGGTTCGACATTCTTGACGGTGGCGGCATTCAACCCTCGATAGTCAATACACAGACGTAATTCACCCTCCTTTTTGGGCACAAACAAGACAGGTGCTCCATAAGGAGATGAACTAGGGCGAATCCATCCCTTGTCAGTAAGGTCGGAGGACAGGAAGAAGAAGACTCACCGGCTTTCTTTACCAATACTAACATGACTTCCTGTTCCAACTTTTTCTTAGAAACCATCGAACGGAAAGCTGGGTAACTCATACAATAGAAAGACAGACTAGAAAGCTGGGTAACTCATACAATAGAAAGACAGATTAGAGTCAGAGCCAGACTTATGGTATAACTTAATTGGTTTCATTTCAGATTGTGCATCTTTGAGTTGCACAATCTTGTTTTTGAAATCGATATCCGGGTTGGCTTCCTCGTGCCAGTCCATACCCAAAATGATATCAAAAGGTAGGTTATTTTCTATGAGGAAGGATAACTCATGCATAATCTTCTTTCCTTCCCTCGTTCGAAACTGACACTTAATACGATCAACACACTGAGAGACAGTGATCGACTCTTGTCTGCTAACATAGACGTTATAGGTCGAGACAAGTCGTTTACCTTCATACCGAGATGCAACTTGCAGATTGCCTTCTCGGAGATGTAGGACCACGTTGATCCTGGGTCCAACAATGCACCAACTCGCGTTCGTGCAATCTCAACATCTGCTAACAACAATTCGCCCTTAGTCTTTGTTTTTCGAGCCCATGAGCCACGTAAGGCTAGCAATCCATTACCTAGCTCATCAAGGGAGTCATCCAGAGAGACAGAACATAAGATAATATCAGGGCGATCTGGATGATGGGCTAAGGAAAAATCATCCTCTGCCATATGAGAAGAAGGGTAGGAAGGGATCGTAGGCGCCTTACCTGTCTGTTCGTCCTTACCCTTAATCTTTGTAGGAGCAGATGCTACTCCTACTGGCTGCTCGCTTTTGGGTTCCGGATTATAGGGCAGTAGGCGATCACATGTCCCGATATGCCGCACTTAAGACATTGCGCATTGTCCATGCGCTCCTGCCAAGTCTTACGAGTCATCCCCATTTCCAACCATGGCTTCCCGTCGGCAATGCCAGGGTGCCATGGAAACGCTCTTTGATTCTTCCCTGTTCCAGTTCTAGGTGGCCCTCCCTTATTGGCCACAACAGCAGTGACTTCCCCCTTCCCGGAGTCACTGTTGTTATCAGTCTCTTCTGTCGGCCACTTTTCCACTGTGTCGTCGTCAAAGACGACAAGGGTGTGGTCCTGGCGCTTTTGTCGCCAGATAACTCTTTTCCCATTGTACTGTCTCTCTCCTCCTCCTCCTCCAGACTTAACTACTGCTGCATAGGAATTCTTGACTTGGGAAGTCATCTGTTCCCTTTGCAGAGCAAGGTCGCGAAATTGCCTATAGTTGTACTTACCGGACTTCGCTTCGGTGACCAAGTGTTCCCGGATGGGCTCAGGCAACGCGCGGGAATAAATGTACAGCACTTGGCTGTCTTGCAGGTTTAACCCTGGAACCTGCAACAATCGATCGACCTCGCGGGACAAAGCCTCGACCGAAGTCCAATGCTTTTGACCGATTGATGTCAATTGGTCAAAGGCCTTGTCGGTTGTCGTCTTGTCGAGAAAACGGTCCTTGGTTTTGACCAAGAACTGTTTCAGAGTCAGTGTCTTTGCCCATTCGCCGATGTCTTCGAATCCCGCGGCATTGGCCTCGGCCAACACCCATTGCTTGGCCTCACCACCCATGCAAGAAGTGGTGAACGCGACTTGGGACTCCGGCTCAACCGGAGCGGTGCTCACGTACGTTTGGATTTCAACAATCCATAACAACAGACTTTCTTCTTTCTTATTGCAAAACGTAAAAGGCAGCTTCATTTTCACTTTTTCTTTCTTCTTCCGCTTTTCCGGTTCAACACTTGTCTTTTCCGGAGTTCCTTTAGGAGTAGACTTGGAAGGAGTGGAATGGGAAGAGTGAGAAGATGGAGTAGATGGCTGACTCGGGGGTCCATTTCCATTGGACTTCGTCTGAATCTCGGGACCAGCAGTCTTAATTGCATCTCCCATCACCTTCTTCACCTCTTTCTTCTCTTCTTTCTCTTCTTGTCCTTCCTGAATCTGATTCTTACCTTTCACGATATTAGCGATTGTTCGCAATCCGACAATAATCTCATCTAACTAAGTTTGTTGTCTGTCAATTTTCTCTTCAAGAAAGGTAAGGTATGTCACAATGTGAGACAATGTTTGTGACATGTCAGTCTGTTCTCCTACTTCTGTTCCAATGACTTGTCTGATTTCTCTAACTTTCTGTCCTCTTCTCTGTTCCTGTTCTTTTCTTCGGGCTAATTCTTCTTTCTTTCTTTCTTTTGTAGCCAATGTTTCTCTTAGCTGCTGGATATTAGCATCAATCGTTGCTTCACTTACTTCTGGCTTTGTTTCCGCTTTACGAGTTGATTCCATGATCTCTTCTTCTTGCTTCAAAGAAAACTGGTCTAGTGCCTATCGCCCCTGTGCAATCAGTTTAGAAGCTTCTGTACCGGCTGCTACAACCTCCACAGTCGTGATAGACTTTTTCAGACGGTCTTCAACCCTTGAAGATCATAGTTATCACGAATGTGTTGCTCGGCATCCGGTCCAGACAACTGCGCTTCCGTCAAAAACTGATTCCACAAGGCCAACAGTTCTTCTTTCTTTTTGTCAGCCTGTCCCCTAGTCCTGAGTGCAGACGGACCTTCCCCAACGGAAAGTGTGATTGGAATAGGAAACAAAAAGGTAATCACGAATCTCGTCAAAATAGACTGTTGCAAACATTTCCAGAAGTAAGATATTTTTGGAGAACAGAAACAGGAAAACTCATCGGCCAGATTGTTCTACCGCAAAAGAAACAATAATTTACGGTCACCTGAACCAGCACACTGTTCTACCGCAAAAGAGAGACAATAATTTTACGGTCACCTGACCCAACACAGTGTCTGAACAGAAAGTTTAATAATAAGGAACATAAAATTTACTAATTCTATTTGCTGTTCTATTTTCAATGTGATGACGTCCTACTCTGTCTCAGGTACCGCATCTCCAGGCTGGCATGATCATCAACACACACAAGTAAGTACACAGGCACACAACAACAGCCAAGACAACAGGTAAGTCCGCCAACAATATCAACAATAATTAGCGTTTTCCCCCCTTGTTGTTACTCCCTCTTTTGTCCTGTGTGATCAGCACCCAATCTGACGTTTGGCACCACAGCCACGTCAATCTTCTGGTCGTGCCGCTTCGGTCATCAGAATGCAACTCTCACCTAGGCACGATCGTGCCTGCCACGTGTCACCCCTGGCCTGCCAACTCAGCAACTCGAAGAGTATGCCAGGTCAGCAGGTCCAATCAAGATCGTTAATGGGGTGCACGTCAACAATGTGCGTTGAAGTCGAAGTCCCAGCCTGCCACGAAGTCGAAGTTCCCACCTGTCACATGTATCCCCTGGTGTGCCAACATAGCAGCACATCTGCCTGCCACGTCAGCACCGTAGTCCATTCAGCAACATCGATGGGATACACGTCAGGAGCGGTACCAGCGCGCCATATAATGCCACGTAAGCCAGTAATGGAGTGTGACACTGCCACGTCAACCTGATCTCTCACCACAACGACTAATGGTGAGTCAGCAATGCCACATCATCAGTCTTCTATCATCCACCGGCCACGTCAGCAATACAGCACTCTCCACCAATGCCACGTCAATGACACGTCAGCATCTGACGTGTGCTTTTCCAGTCTTGTCCACGTCAGCCTCTTCGTCGTAGATGTCATCACTTGTCGTTGTCGTAGTCTGTCACATCATCGGAAGTATAGCTCTAATACCAAATTGCAATGAGCCCAAGTCGTGATGATACTCGTCAACATTACCAGTCCATATGATTATCAATCTGCTGATGAATGACAAACAATCGCAAATGTGTGTAGACAGAATGAGGTGGGAAATCAT